GGGGGGGGGGGGGGGGGGGGGCCTGCACGACCCTGCCACAGCTCCGCTCAAGGCTTCCGCAGCAGCGTGTGGTTGAATGACGGCAGGCTGGGCGCGACCAGCAGGCTCGCCTTCAGGCTCGACAGTGTCTTGTGCGCCGACGCGATGGCGTCGTTCGCCTGCTTAATCTTGCTGTCCAGCTGCTTGCTCAGCGGCGCGAGCAGCGACTTGGCCTGGCTGGTTGCGTCGGTTGCGGCCTTAGCCTTGGCTGACAGCAGCTGGTTCACGAGCTTGTTCGCCTGGTCGATCGCGTCGTTGGCCTGCTTGATCTTCAGGTCGAGGATCGACTGCGCCTTGGCCGTCGCGTTGGCGATCGCGTCGTTGGCGGCCTTGACCGGGTTTGACTTGACGGCCTGCGCCTGCTGCGCCAGCGCGCCGAGCGCGTCGGTCGCCTGCTTCAGCTTCGAGTCGATCAGCGACGAGGTGTTGGCCGCGAGGCCGCCCAGGCCGATGTGGGCAAGCTTGGCGTCGAGGATGGCGTTTAGCTGCTTGCGGGCGGCGGCCAGGGCGGCGTGGGCCTCCTTGACCTTGGCCTCGTACTGCGGCACGGGGGTATGGCATAGACGGGGTTGCGGCTTAGGGTGCATGACAGGTTTCTGGGGTTGAGATTAAACTTGCTTTTTTTCTTGTCAGGCCCGTAAACGCATCCGCAAGGCGTGTGATTGCAGGAGATTCGCCCCTCTTGACACCGCAGAGCCTGACTGGAGCACAGTGCTGGCCCTCTCGCGTGCGCGCACCTGCTGGGTGACGGACGCCAGGAGGGTGGCGGCGTTGGTCTGCGCGCCGCCGACGATCTGCAGCTTGAAGGCGACGACGGCCTGCGCGTTCTTGAGCGCCGCCTGGTAGGCCTCCGCCAGGGCAGCCACCTGTACAATGGAGGAAGGGCACAATTGCAAGTGGGTTCTCAGCACTATTCCAAGTGGGTACTGGTCAAAGGGACTGTGGCAGGAAGTGACGCCAAGCGTGAGCCACAGCCTGTGTCGCCCTTTCCTCTGCTGCCTGTCGCACCACCACGTCACCTGATGCGCAGTGCCCCTGCCCCCTCTGTCTGACGAGGGACCAATTAGACACGTGCTCAACACCATGTCAACCCAAGAGCCCTTGACCAATGTGACCCCTCAAGGCCTTGGCCATTGTGCTGCTGCCACATCATCGGTTGGTTTGGCGGCACCAGTAGCTGCAGGGAAGCCCACCTTGGCGTCCAGCAGGTCATTGGCCTGCTTGCTGGCGGCGGCCAGCGCCTGGCTGGCGGCCTTGTGGGGGTCGGCCTTGATGTCGGACGCCAGCTTGGTCAGGTTCTGAAAATTGTGAGCAAATGGGTTGCGCATTCCATGGTGAGGTGCCGTCCCCAGGCAAAATGTCGAGTTGTTAGGAGAGGCTTCAAATGATCAGAGACACGGCGCCACAGTACATATCACAGATTTTACAGCGCGGCGCAACTCAGCAGGCCGCTGGCAAACCCCCTGCGCATGCTGGCGGCGCACGCACCTGGTAGGCGGCGCCGATGGCCAGGACCTGCGCCTGCAGCTTCTGGGTGGCGTTCACGGCCACGCCGGGCAGGCCGATAGCGGCAAGCTTCGAGTCGATGACCGACGCGGCCTGCTTCTGGGCGGCAAAGATCGCGTCATTGGCCTGCTTGACCTTGGCCTCGACCTGGAATTTTGGGGGTTTGTAGGGGAACGGCCAGCACGGGCTGAGGATTAGGTGTGCTGGTGCGTTGCAGCCACGGGTGGGCGGTTGGGTTTGGTGCGGCCGCTCAAGGCCAGAGGCTGCGTGCAACGCGTCTGGTGCCAGGTCTGCCTTCAAGGCCCAGCCGGAGCTTGCAGCCGCGTATGCAGTGGCGCGCTCGCACATCCGGATGCCAGTCCGCCCACGCGCCGCCGGCTGCACCCCGCAGCCCGCAACCGCGCCCCACCTGCTTGGTCAGGTTGCCGATGGCGCCCTCGGCCTGCGCCTTGACGTCGTTGGCGGCGGCCAGCTTCGCGCCGAGCAGCGCGTCGGCCGTCTTGTTGGCCGCGGAGATGGCGTCGTTGGCCTGCTTGACCTTGGAGTCCAGCAGGGACTGCGCCTCCATGAGCGCCCTGGCCAGGGCGTCGGAGACGGCTTTGGTTGGGTTGGCCTTGAGATCCTGCGCGACGGCGGTGATGTTGCTGACCGCGTCGTTGGCCTGCTTAAGCTTGGACTCCAGGAGCTGGGGTGGTGGTGGTGGTGGGGGGG